TAGTCTGTGGCCAGCCTGCTGGTCATTAGAATGGACGGAGACACCTGGACACCATGATGTGGACCAGGATCCCAGTGTTGTCAGCAGCTCCACGAGGAGTGTCCAGCTGATGGGTAGGTCTCATGGTGGTCTACAAAACCCTCTGGCTCTCTAAATCCCAGCTTGCTTCATACGGCTCCATCTGAAATCTCTTCTAAAAAGGCTAAAATGAACCTCAACCTGGACATGAACCAACTTCCTGAGTTCTGTGTTTTCAGGAAATTAACACTGATGAATATCTGACAGATCAAAAAACAGACCTTCATCTCCCTCAGGAAGCTCTTCATCCTCTTCATACTCAGTGTCTTCATCAATGTCCACCTGCAGAAACAAGCAGAGTGCTCAGACTGAAACCTGATGATGGAGCTAACAGAGAAAACACCATGGTACCTTCACTTCTCCTTCAGGCTCCTCCTCGGCATGTTCCTTATTCTTACTAGAGAGACAAAAACAAACAAACAAAAAAAAAACAATTTCATTTGATTTAAAAACATTTTTTTACTTTATTTTCACCTATTCATGCCTTCATCTCTCACTCTTTCTTCTTGTCTTCTCCATCTCCTCCAGCCAGATTGTCCACAGCGATGGCCAAGAAGACATTTAGCAGGATGTCTGACTCTTAGTTAAGTTCTCCTTACTGGTCTGTGATGTTTGAACTCTGATGTGGTCTGATGTTCAGTCAGCATTGGACTGAACCAAGGTGATAAAACCTCAAGCCAAAGATACAGAAGATATTACAGAGAACCCTGAAGAACCGTCAGCTTTGTTGAACTCATGGTCGGTCAGTAGACCCAGCATGAGTCTGAAGCAGGAAGGAGTTCAGATGTGGCACAAAGTGAAACAAAACCTCCACCTAAATATTATTCCCATTCTCCAGTGGGAGTCCATAACAACATCCATGAGATATCATGGATAACCAGTGCTTGTCCTGGAAGTTTACTATGAAGCACGTTTCAAGTGTTTTCTGTTCCAGCGCTCCGGATTCAATGGCTGAATCACTGATTCAGCAGGTATTGAAGCTCTGTAGAAGCCTGGTAATCACCTGGATGGATGGATGGATGGATGGATGAATAGATGATGGATGGATGGATGGATGAATAGATGATGGATGGATGATGGATGGATGGATGGATGGATGGATGGATGGATGATGGATGCATGGATTAATAGATGATGGATGAATGATGGGTGGATGATGGGCGGATAATGAATGGATGGATTAAAACATGATGGATGACTAATGGATGGATGATGGATAGATGGATAATGGATTGATAGATGATGGATGGATGGAAGGATGATTAATAGATGATGGATACATGGATAATGGATGGATGATGGATGGATAACGGATGGATGGATTAAAAGATGATGGGTGGATGTATGTATGGATGGATGAATAGATGATGGGTGGGTGGATGGATGGATTAATAGATGATGGATGGATGGAGTAATAGACGATGGATGGATGGATGGATGGATGGATTAACAGATGATGGGTGGATGGATGGATTAATAGATGATGGATGGATGGATGATGGATAGATGGTTAATGGATGGATGACCGATGGATAATGGATGGATGGATTAAAAGATGGTGGATGGATGATGGATGGATTAATGGATGATGGATTGATGGATAATGGATGGATGATGGATGGATGGATAATGGATAGATGGATAATGGATGGATTAATAGAAGATGGATGGATGGATAAATAGATGATTGATGGATGGATGGATGGATGGATAATGGATAGATGGATAATGGATGGATGATGGACGGATGGATAAATAGATGATTGATGGATGGATGGATAATGGATGGATGATGGATGGATGGATGGATAATGGATGGATGATGGATGGATGGATGGATGGATGGATGGATGGATAATGGATTAATAGATGATGGATTGATGGATAATGGATGGATGATGGATGGATGGATAATGGATAGATGGATAATGGATGGATGATGGACGGATGGATAAATAGATGATTGATGGATGGATGGATAATGGATGGATGATGGATGGATGGATGGATGGATAATGGATGGATAATGGATGGATGGATGGATGGATGGATGGATAACGGATGGATAATGGATGGATAATGGATGGATGATGGATGGATGGATAAATAGACGATTGATGGATGGATGGATAATGGATGGATAATGGATGGATAATGGATGGATGATGGATGGATGGATGGATGGATGGATGGATAATGGATTAATAGATGATGGATGATGGATAAATGAACAGGTGAACGTGCTCACTACTGTGTTCTCCAGGTAAAACACCACAGCTGTGTTTGAAATGAGACACGGAATTAAAATGCTACCCCTTATCATAAATGTTAACCCTTTGATGATGGTGGTGAGGGTGTTTTGGATTGGTTGCCATGGATACAGTTACCACAAATGAAGAGGATAACGAAGTAAACACAGACGATCATCCCTGGGAAGACTGGGCCACCGTATGCCATGATGCCATCATACATGACCACATTCCAGTCCTCACCTGTCAGGATCTGAACACACCAGCATCATAAGGACCACGCCCCCACAATGTGACATCACTTATCTTCTCCATTTCTGCTACCTGGAAGCATGTGAGCAATGCCTGGGGAAAGGCATCAAATGTGCTTCGTTTGGTCTGCGTCTCATCAAAGTTGAACTTCCCTCCAAACAGCTGCATGCCGAGCAGCGCAAAGATGATGAGGAAGAGGAAGAGAAGGAGCAGCAAGGAGGCAATGGATTTCATGGAATTGAGCAGGGACGCCACCAGGTTGGACAGAGCTGTCCAATGGCTGAGGAGACAAAGAGTGATGTCATTAGAGAAGCAGCGAGCCGCACCTGGAGGCTCAGGTGTGTTTCCTCACCGAGTGACCTTAAAGATGCGCAGCAGGCGGACACAGCGCAGGACAGCAATCCCCAGAGGAGGCATGATGTCCAGCTCCACCAAGATGGTCTCTATGATGCCGCCGCACACCACGAAGCAGTCGAAACGGTTAAAAAACGCCACAAAATAATGAGCCAGACCCAAACTGTACATCTTCAGCAGCATCTCCACCGTGAAGAGAGACAGCAGCACCTTGTTGGCGATGTCTGCAGAGACAGCGATAGTTAGGACAACTACATCCCACAGGGAGAAGCCACCACCATCAGCAGGTGACGAGGGGAGGAGCTATTACCCTGGACCTGTGTCAACCACTCAGGTTGGTTGTAGTGCTCAGAGGCACTCAGAGATGTGTTGAGGAAGACGAGTAGAAGGACCAGCCAATAGAAAGTCACCGACTTGACGGCCGTGCGACAGTTTCTACGACAGACTCGATTCCAGCGCCGCAGCGTTCGACTGGGTCAGACAGAAGGACGAATGAGGGACACTCACCTCTGCAAACATATGGTGCGGTATGGGGGCCAAAATTAAGACTACTGCCCAGCAGCAGGAGGCTATATAAATTCCGAAGCAAACTACTGATCTGATTAATGATAAGCTGGCGCCGGTAACTGAGAGGCTGGCGCTGCCTACTGAGGAATTGCACCTTTACCGGTGTTACTACTAGATACGCTAGGGACTAGCAGCCCTTGGCTGGTCATTGACTGGTTCACACACTCCCTCTGCTGTCTATTAGCATGGATAGGCTAGCGTTAGCCTGGACGGGCTGGTGTTAGCATTGGAGGAGCTAGCCATTAGCGTGCCTAGGCTGGCCACTAGCTGGATTTCCTACCTTTTCGATGGACCATTAGCATAGATAGGCTGGCATTAGCATCGGAGAGGCTAGCCATTAGCATGTCTCAGAGAGTCACTAGTCAACTAGTGGCCAGCCTAGGCACGCTAATGGCTAGCCTTTCCTATGCTAATGCCAGCCTATCCATGCTAATGGTCCGTCAAGGGGGTAGGAAATCCAGCTAGTGGCCAGCCTAGGCACGCTAATGGCTAGCCTCTCCAAAGCTAACACCAGCCTGTTCAGGCTAACGCTAGCCTATCCATGCTAACAAACAGCAGAGGGGGAGTGTGAACCAGTCAATGACCAGCCGAGGGCTGCTAGTCCCTAGCGTTTCTAATAGTAACACAGGTAAAGGTGCAATTCCTCAGTAAGCAGCGCCAGCCTCTCAGTTACCGGCGCCAGCTCATCATTAATCAGGTCGGTAGTTTGCTTCAGAATTTACATAGCCTCCTGCTGCTGGGCAGTAGTCTTAATTTTGGCCCCCATACCGCACCATACAAACAGACTTCTACGTGCTGGGACTCACCAGCAGCTGATCTTCATCATCCGAGCGCTGAAACAGAGCAGAGAGAAGTTACGTCTTCCAACAGCTACAGCGAACATCCTGTCACCTGCAGACACCTGAGTAGATACGAGCTAGGAGTTACCAGCAGGCCTGGCAGCAGTTGGTGTGTTCCTCATCGATGTTCTCCGTGTTCTCAGAAGCCGTCTCACTGGCAGGAAGACTCGCTGTCAGGAAGACAAGACAAGGACAGGTGATGTTCTGGTGGTTCTGGTGGGTTTAATGGTTCTGGTAAGTTTGATGAGTCTGGTGGGTTTGATGGTTCTGGTAGTTTTGATGGTTCTGACTGTTTTAATGGTTTTGATGGGTCTGGTGGTTCTGATGGTTTGATGGTTCTGGTAGTGTGTGATGGGTCTGGTGGTTCTGTTAGTTCTGGTGGTACTGATGGGTCTGGTTAATGGGGAGATGCTGATCTACCAGCTGCGGGTCAGAACCAGAACCCCCTCATGGTTCTTGGGTATCTCACCATGAGTCTCATTGGAGTGACTGAACCACCCAAACTTGCCCCTCTTTTTATCAGACAGGTCCCCGAGAGACGGTCCTGAGAATCAAACAGGACATGGACACATGAACAAGACAGGTTCCCTTGGTTTCATCACGGGTCATGGACCGCTCTCTGGTTTCAGCTGGTCCTCGCGGGTTGTGGACTAGCCCATCACTTCCAGGAGAACCAGGTATTAGATGAGCTAACGCTAAGCTCTCCCAGTTAGCGAGCAGCAATGAAGCTCTCGCTAGAGTTTAAACTTGTGTTGCTGCTTGTTTAGTAAGAAACAAAGTCCAGTTAGGTTGTTTGAGAGTCTGAAAGGAGACCAGACCCACTCTGGACTGAACTAGGGTCCCGCAACAGGGCGGCTGGCCCTGTCTCTCCTCTGTCTGCATGACAGAGGAAATGAAATAGCATCGTTTCCTGTTGAAAATAAAACAGCTGATCTTACGTGTGTTTCCGTCTTCATCCAGTTCGTCCATGTCCTCCGCCTGTGTGATCCAGTCCATGTATCCACACAGATCCTCTTCCATCTGTTGCTTCTCGCGCAACTTCTGGAAATCTCCACGAGCTTTTGCCTTCTCTCTTTCCTTGCTGAACTCTCTGCAATGTCAATGAAATTTTATTTTATTTATTAAACTCCAGATGCGTCGACTGAAAACTCATTCTCATTTGCGACGATGGTCTGGCCAAGAAGCAGCAGAAACAGATACATAATCTGCTTCACTGCAAAGAAAAACAAACAAGATAAAACATCCATCCATTTTCAGCTGCTTATCCGGAGTCGGGTGGCGGGGGCAGCAGCCTAAGCCGAGAGGCCCAGACTTTCCCCTTCCAGCCACTTAGGCCAGCTCCTCTGGGGGAATCCCAAGGCGTTCCCTGGCCAGCTGAGAGACGTAGTCCCTCCAGCGTGTAGGTGTCCAGCAGGCATCCTGACCAGATGCCCGAGCCACCTCAACTGGCCCCTTTCGACGTGGAGGAGCAGTGAGTCTACCCAAGCCCCTCCCGGATGACCGAGCTTCTCACCTTATCTCTAAGGGAGAGCCCAGCCACCCTGCGGCCGCTTGTATCCGCGATCTCGTTTTTTCGGTCACTACCCAAAGCTTGTGACCATAGGTGAGGGTAGGAATGTAGATCGACCGGTAAATTGAGAACTTTGCCTTCTGGCTCAGCTCTCTCTTCACCACGACAGACCGGTACAACGCCCGCATCACTGCAGACGCAGCACCAATCCGCCTATCAATCTCACGCTCCAGCTTTCCCTCACTCGTGAACAAGACCCTGAGATACTTTAACTCCTCCACTTGAGGCAGGACCTCATTCCTGACCTAGAGAAGGCATTCTACCCTTTTCTGATTCAAGACCATGGTCTCGGATTTAGAGGAGCTGATTCTCATCCCAGCCGCTTCACACTCGGCTGCAAACTGCTCCAGCGAAAGCTGGAGATCACGTTCTGATGAAGCCAACAGGACCATGTCATCTGCAAAAGACAGACCCGATCCTCAGGCCACCAAAATGGATGCCCAGGTCCAGTGTTCCACGACCAGGACAAATACCACATTGCTCCTCCTGAATCCAAGGTTTGACAATCCGATGGACCCTCCTCTCCAGAAACCCGAAATAGACCTTACCAGGGAGGCTCAGAAGTGTGATCCCTCTAGTTGGAACACATTCTGCAGTCTCCCTTTTTAAATAGGGGGATAACTACCTCGGTCTGCCAATCCAGTGGAACTACCCTCGATGTCCATGCGATACTGCAGACCAACACAGCCCCACAACATCCAGAGCCTTAAGGAACTACAGACAGATCTCATCCATCCTTGGAGCCTTATCAATGAGAAGCTTTTTGACCACCTCAGTGACCTCGGCCCCAGACTCTGCTTCCTCACTGGAAGACTTGCCGGTCAGATTGAGGAGGTCTTTGAAGTGTTCTGCCCACCGATCCACAACGTCCCGAGTAGAGGTCAGCAGCAAACCGTCTCCACTGTAAACAGTGCTGGTGGTGCATTGCTTTCCCCTCCCATTGGAGGATGGGCCAGAATTTCCTCAAACCTGTGCAGAAGTTTTGCTCCATGGTCTCACCAAACTCCTCCCATGCCTGAGCTTTTTCCTCTGCATTCCGCTTAGAAACTACTGGTACCCATCAGATGCCTCTGAAGTCCCACAGGCCAAAAAGACCCATTAGGAATCTTTCTTTATCTTGACAGCATCCCTGTCCACTAGTGTCAACCAGCGAGTACAGGGGTTGCCACCATGACAGGCATCAACAACCCTGCGACCGCAGCTCCGGTCAGTCGCCTCAACAGTAGAAGCAGGAACAGGGCCCACTCGGATTCAATGCCACCCTCCCCCCCCCCCCCCCCCCCCCCCAAGGGACAGGTTCGGATTTCTGTCAGAGGTGGGAATTGAAGCTCCTTCTGACAGGAGCCAGATGTTCCCAGTAGACCCTCACAATACGTTTAGGCCTGCCAGGCCTGACCGAATTCCTCGCCCACCATTGAAGCCAACATACCAGTGGTCAGTTGACAGCTCCACCCCTCTCTTCTACGGAGTGTCCATGACAAGTGGCCGTAGATCAGATGACATGACAACAAAGTCAATAATCAAACTGCGGCCTAATGTGCCAAGAGCACAAATGGACACCTTTATGCTTGAACATGGTGTTCGTTATGGACAGTCCATTAGGCATTACATTAAGGCCCACTGGGATGACTGGGACCACAATAAACCTAGGTTCACCTAACTGCTGCAGTGGCCTGCTGAACCCTAACCCTAACCCTAACCCCTAACCCTAACCCTACCCTAACCCCTAACCAAACACAAAGTTTACAAGATAAAACACTTAGACATACAGACAAAGGACTGTTCTCATGTACAATTTGTACAAGCGATCAAAACATACTTAAATAATCTTTAAGTACTCAGAAGCAGGCACACTGATCAGAACTATTGATCACCATGAATTATTGAAGGTAGATAATGGAATGTAGGCAGTGAGCTTTGGTGCTTCTTGCAGCTCATTCCAGTCGTTGGAAGCAGCAAACTGGAATGAGGAGCGGCCAAAGGAGGTGCGAGCTTTGGGAATAACCAGAGATTAAGTCACTGGAATATAAAATGTGCTGGTTGTTGGAAGTGATGAGTGAAGAAATGACCTGGTTCTACCGATGATTGTTTTGTATATAAATTAATGTAAACAATATCTGCAAAGTATTGAGACACCATTTGGGCGACATTCGGGAAACGGCGGGACAACGTTCACACATCGATCGGCTGATGTTCGGGCAATCATATAGTTGTGTTTGTTACAACATCAATCAGGAAACAAACTTAAAAAAAAACATCGACACAATGATCAGGTGGAAATTCCAGACCACACGCTCTGGTCCTCCCATTCACTTCACTTTTAAAACATTCTGCTTCATGGGTCCATGAGGACCACAGATAACTGACCCACTGAGGACTCCCAGAACCAGGTTGAGAACGAAGAAAGACCCAAAAATCACCAGACTGACGAAGTACACCCACGGCAACTCGAATCCAATAGCATCGTTCATCTGCAGATTCATCAGACAGACAGTGAGATCAAAAAGTGGCTCTGGTTCTGAATGAGAGGACCGGGTGGAAAGTGAAGAACTTACCCAGTAGAGCACGTCGGTCCATCCCTCCATTGTGATGCACTGAAACACTGTCAGCATGGCAAAGAAGAAGTTGTCAAAGTTGGTGATTCCACCGTTGGGTCCATCCCACCTTCCACGACACTCAGAGCCGTTCACAGAGCACTGACGGCCGTGACCGGCGAACGCACACGGGACCGGTTCATCCTCCACAAAGTTATCTGAAAACATTCGGGAGCACCAGAAAACCTTTGGTGTTTTTACGGTGGAGTCACAGACATTAGCTAGCCTTAGCCCTCTGTGTCCATCCCAGACCTGGACCTGAAGATCGGTCCATTACGCTCATTAGCTCACGGACACGTGCAGTGCATCCTCGGGATCTGCAAGGTGTTCGTCCTCCCCCAACTACCCCCTAACTACGTCCTACATACACGATCTTTTAGGTGGTGAGAAGGTTTTTCCAGATTTGGTGAGATTTGACCTGGAAAGGGGAGTGACGCTACCCGTGTGGATGTAGTAGCAGGTCCTGTGCATCCGTCCGATGAAAAGCTCCAGGCCGATGATGGCGTAGATGATGATGACAAAGAGAACCAACAAAGCGATATGAAGCAGAGGAACCATGGCCTTCATGATGGAGTTCAGCACGATCTGCAGACCTGAGAAGCACAAAGAGCTGAAAACACACACCCACACAGGAAACACATGCTCCAGTCACTTCCAGCTTGCTGAACTCACTGGGAACTCCAGAAACCAGTCTGAGGGGTCGCAGCACCCTAAAAGCTCTCAGAGCTTTTACATCTAAACCTCCTGGCTTTCCTGGCATGTGATGTGTGGTCGCCTGCTCGCCCGTTGACTTGGTGGTCATCGTCTCCAGTACAACACTGAACAGCCTGGAAACCACAGAAGAAGAAAAGTGGGACTCTAGTTTGTGATGAAAGAGAAGAAGCTCCAAAAGGATGTTCTCGGGATGAGTCTGGTTCCACTGTGGGTTTAAGTTGCCCTTCGGCGTCGAATAAAGTTTCATTGAACTGAAGTTTCTGACTCAAATCTCCTTCAAAAAGCAGATTTCTACAGTCAGAGTCCTGAAAGTCACATCTGACACCAAACAAAGCCTCCTTAGGTGGCATGACTGTCCCAGCATGCTTCATCATCACACCCATCATCATCGCCCTGAGAATGTCCAGTCATGGACCTGGAGCGAGGGCCAGCACAGAGGACAGAGCCCGCTGACCCCTGACCCTAACCAAACACAAGGCTTACAACTAGGATCAACGGGGGTGACGGTGGCTTAGGGGCTAGGAGTTCGCCCCGATCGGTGAGCTGCCCCGGGCTTTGTCTGTATCTGTAGCTCCTCATCATGAGTGTGAGAATGACTGCAAGAGCCTGGAGTGCTCCAAATACAAGGTCCCCAAACAAGTGCAGTATAATTATAATTAGGTCATCATAATCCAGGTCTTGATTCTGATCTCATCAACACACAGAATCAGGAGGAAACCAGTCCACCTCAGAAGACGGAGAACACCTGAAGACAGAACCGGCTTTCCTTACCCAACAATGACG